GGAGAGTTATGGTGGTAATATCTGTTCATTTTTATATTTGTTAATTTTTTTCACCTGGGTTGTCTTGCCTTAAATAATTTAATACAATCTTATACAGTTTTCACCAAAAAAATTGGCTTATGCGACATTTATTAATTTATTAATCCTGAGATCTAGTTAGCTAGAACGATTTGACACGACCCTTAGACTGTGCCGTTGTTCAAAACTCATCCATAGCAAGTAAAACTCAAGTGATTTAATAAATCGAAATACCAGCTGTCATTGTATGTACTGTATAACAGAAGCAGGGACACATTTTTTAAATGTTCATTCAGTGATAAAGTGAGATGTGTGAAAACATCCAATTTAATCCATCTGGTGAATATGTAGTCAAATCAAGCCCAGCATTCAGACAGTGGATTAGCCTCCACCCCGTCTCAGCTGCTGACGACGTACACGCAACAAAATGTATCCCTGAAGGGTCCATCACCCCTGTCCTGGGGCTACCATAGAGGTGCTGTCATTCAAGAATGACTGACAGGCTGCCATCGGTTAGTGACATCACTGAGAAAAATGTCATAGCGATTCTACTGCTGTTTAAGGGCATGTCTTCTTTGTGACAGATGAAGGCTCAGACCCTTTGTTACCGACAGCCCAAGTTTAACAAGGATTATATTAGGAATGTCGATTCTGGGTTTTCATCCCTGGGTGGTTTATATGGTGACACAGCACTGTACGTCTTGGTTGCATGTACAACACCCTTAAAGACGGCTTGGGGCCAATTACTGTCTCAGTCCCCATGACTTCAAGTGAAGTCATAGGCTTCCTTATCAAAGGCTCCGCCGATAACTGGGTCAAAGCGAGTACCTCAAAGCCTCTCAAAGAGAGCGAGAAGGCTTCAATGCATTCATCCCTTTTGATATGAAGACTAGCAAATAATTTACACTACTACACCTACACTGTACTCGATACAGCTCTCGTTTGGTGATAAAGCTGTCAGTTGTCGGCATATCACAGACGGCTTTCCAAAGCAACGACTTAACACGATAGACGCAAAAGCATTAACATCTCGCTCTCATTGGAGGGAGTTCATTAGGTGGGATCCCTGTGATTTGGCCCTCTTGGTGAGTTCACGTGCCGCCACCCAACCGAGGAGTCCTTTCATCAGAGGGCAGCGATGCTAAATGCCGAGCCAGAGAGGCGCTGAAGTGGAAAGGTGATTAAATTCAGCCTTTAGAGCAGAGGGCAGCAAGCAAAATGCTCGCTCTTTCCGAGCCCACACCGCTGACGCAGTTGAGCCCACCCTTAACACCCCTCCTCCCACTGCGAGTGCATGCTCGCACACATATATGTGTGCGTTTGCGTGGCTGTGAAAGGCTCAGACACCGTTGGCAGCGCACACTGCTCCCGCGCTCCATGCCAGCGCCTCTCAGCTGCGCTCCTATTTGTCCACCCGCCTGCTCACGCGCGCACTCCCCATACACTCCGCCAGGCTGGGTGTGAGGCACGGCATGGAATGGAATCTCAGAAGGATGGAGAGTGAACTGAGACAGATCAATCCGGACTTGCTGCAGCCCAGCAAGAGCTTTAAGAAACCTTCCTCCGGCACCATCACCATCAACGTGGGGGGCTACCTGTACGCTGCGCAGCGCCAGACCCTGGCCAAGCATCCCGGCTCTCTGCTGGAAGAGATGGTCACGGGGAAGAAGCCTGTGGTGCATGTGGACTCCATGGGCAACACCTTCATCGACCGCGATGGGCCCATCTTCCGGCACGTTTTGAATTTCTTGCGAATGGGCGAGCTGGTGCTTCCCGATGACTTCAAGGAAGCCGGGCTGCTCCGACGCGAGGCCAACTTCTACCGGCTGAGCGAGCTGGCCCAAGCCCTGCAGGACTGGGAGCAGCAGCAGGCCACGCAGCACGAACCTGCCTTCCTGGAGGTGACGGACAGCCACGAGCGCTCGCATGGTCTGAGGGTCTACTGCAGCGACAGCACCTTCATCGAGAAGGTGAAGAACCGCCTGGTGCAGATTTCCAAGAGCCGTTTGGATGACTTTCCGGAAGAGTTCGAGGTGTCGTCCAACATCATCCAGTTCCGGCATTTCATCAAGTCGGAGCAGGGCTCTCGGCTTGTGCTGAAGCAGGACAGCACGTTTTTGTGTACACTAGAGTGTCTGAAGCTGGAGACGGTGATGCTCGCTCTCAAAGGAGGCTTTCGCCTGCTCACCAGCCTAGAC